AAGTTATATTAAAAATTCAAATGCCATTTACTATTAAATTAAAAACTCAAACATTTTATTAAATTAAAAATATGTGTTACCATTTAAAAAAACAAAGTTGACCCCCCTCCAAGGCATAAGGGATGAACTTAAAAAGTATTACATAGTTAAAAATTCAAGAATAATGTGTAACTAAAGATAATAAAAAAAAAAAATGTTTAAATTATTATTATTCTGCAAGTAATTGAGTGGGTTATGATAAAAAAATCACCCTGTATACATAGTTCTATGATTCAGATACAGTTCATACAATCCGGAAAAATGTCCGCTTTCGAAATTTGTAAATGACACTATCAGTATATTAAAAAGCCATAAACGATTTCATACAGCCGATAATTACATCGTGATTTAATTATATTTTAGAAGTGAATTTTGTAAGTTTCAAAACATGAGATAACAAGAGGGAAAAGTATTTTTGTGTTTAATGCATTTAAAAAGGTTTTGTGTAAAATAAACATCGGTTATTGAAACACTACTCTATAAGTTATTAAAATGTGTGTTGTAAACTTTTTGCGGGTAGTATTTAAAAATTATACAAAAACTAGCAAAATTACAGAATTGACAGATGTTTCAGTGTTTTATAATTATATGCTTGTTTACTGATGTGTTTTCGTTTTGACCTAGCTGGAATTATTGCCAGAGATACTGACTCGGTGCATAGCGCAACACCAAACAACACAAAACAGCGGCAACGCATCAGCCACCGAGTCCAGACGCCACTTCCTGCATCCGGAATCGGCAGCGGTGACCGGACAACTGCAAGCATCTTTATCATCGCCGGCCGGAAGCGGAAGTGGAAATCCGCTAATGTTTCCATCGTCTACGGGCGGTATGGCCATCGGTAACGGATCTTCTGTCATGTCACACTCGCGCAGTGTGCCGCCAACTGGTGTCGGCGGCGCTTCGCACTATCATTGGCCAACCAGTCCAATACTACCACCAGTCAGCAGCCGAACACCGCACTTGGTTCCGGAACCCATACAGCCGTCGAGCTGAGCCCACGCCCGACCACCACCTATCGGTAACAATCAACTCTTCTCAGTTGTAATTTAACCGCATAAGTCGCAGATGGATTCGCCCTAACGAGCGACCTAATGAAAAGCATAAATAAAATCCATCAAATCCCACCGTCGACTTGATGAACGCATAAATCTCGGTGCCGTATATTACTCCCTTGGGATTAGGCAGCGGGCGCATTAATATAATATGATCGTTACACCGACCGAACATTTATTTTTACTGACACACAGTCTTCGTGACAAATCGCCGCCTTTGTCGGTCACGCATTTTAACAGCGCCGTTTAATAATCAGCCGGTGGCGTCTGCGGCACTATAGATCTCGATAATTATTACAATGAAATTCGCTCGAAAATGTAAATTACACGAATTTAAACCGTTTATTACACTTGAACGTAAAACGGCTTTTATGGAAACAGTTTTATAGTTGCGCATAAAAACAAAACCACTGTATAGGTATAAAAAAAAAATTCAGAACACAATGCAGGCGTACGATAAAATAACTCGTAGTATTATCACACGTTTTATACGCCAAACAATGTCTAATTTATAAACACGTCTCGTACAATATGATCGGTTTTCCCGTTAATCCGACTTCATTCGGCTGCCATTAGGTTACACATGATGTTATAGCCTCGATGATAAAACTTACCGCGAAAACAACGCGGTGCGGTTATCCTAACACGGCGCCCGAAGTAGGCAATCGCGGTGCACCGGTGTCACGCATGCGGTGATATGTGCATTAGTCCTCTCGGCCAATGGCATAACGTCTTTACCCACCGCCGTTTTATAATACTCGGCTAAATTGCTACCACTAGTAACAATACCGTTTCATTTTATTTACAACATCGATTTTTAATTTTCAAATCATCAATGCTAACAATATCGGAGGAAAAAATCGACATTTTTATAAAATGAATAAAAATATTGAAATAATAAATGATAGTTTCTTACTATAAGACAAGTTATTTACATTTCATGTACCACGCGATATGAAAAAATTTTTTATGGGATTATTAGCAGTTAGTAGTTGCTGTCAATTACCCAAATAAACAATTGACATTCATTTGTTATACATTATATTTGTCAATATTCATTACAAACAATCTGTAGTAAAATCATTCTTAAAATTAGAATGAAATTTTTATGATGTGGAATTTGATGTGAAAGTATTGGTTTTGTGATAATGTGTGTGCTTTTCTTAAGTCTGTCCACGAAAATTATCAGCTCTCACTGGTTCAGTTTTAATGGTCAATACATTAAAAGAAATAAATTTTCATCTAATTGAACATATCGGCACCAAAAATTAAAAAAAAACCTCAACTCTTTAGATTTAAAAAAAATATATCAAAAATACGTTACCGTGAATAATGACGTTTCAATATTTTTTTTTTTACTGATCCTAATGATATTTTAATAAGGTGTAATAGAAACAATAAGCTTTCTTTTGGTAACTTTCTATGAAAACTAAACGAATAACTTAATTGCAGGATAGATTTTTAAATAAATTGATTAAATAGCTTGAATATACTGCCCTATTTTAACCGAAATCAAATTATAGCTCATGAAGTGTACTACAATATTAAATAAAAACCACCCTACAAAAAATTACATACATACATATTATTGTGAAATTTAACAGATTCGCATCAAAGTTTTTTTTTTATATAGTAATGTTAATGGCTATCAGATATCATTTGTTCTTGTTCCGACTCCATTTTGATGGGTTTTTTTCCAATCAATCCCAGAAGTCACATTATTTTTGTAAAATCGTTATTTTATTATCTTTTCTATCCACGAGGAAAATTGTGTCCGTCCAATTTGCCTCAAGGCACGCGTGTACAGATATTTTACTGACTACATAAATAATAAAAAAGTTTGGGTCGCTCTAAATGAATTGTAACTGTCGACCTTTGACAAAGACTTTCAGTGCGCAGTTTATTAAAGTCTTATCTGTATGTCTTATGAACTTACAGGATACCAATGATGATATTTAATTACATTCACAGGAAAAAAAATGTGTCAGCGATCATTTTGATTGGACTAAACGACAAAAGAAACTGTCCGGAATTTTTTAACAAACGTCTCCTAAAAGGGCTGTCGAGTTGGTGTTATGAAGAAATTATAATTGTCGTTACATGTATTAAAATTTCAAAACTTATAATAATAATTACTGCAATTATTATTGTTAGTATATTTATGTAATCATTTAATAGAATTATTTAAACGTTATGGATCAATAACGGCGATATTTGTTATAATGTATTAATTAAGAATTGCTCAGACTATTTAAGTGGTTATTAATACATAATAATATGAATTTCACACATAGAATACACGTTTTAAACATTTATTTAGAACATATATGCCAGCATTTGATAATAGTTTTATTTTGGTTCCAAAATTTTTTTTTTGTCTTTATTCTAATTATTATGAAAGTTCATAAATGAATAAAATCAAAATAGTTGTTTTTTTTTTAATTTACAATAGCTCCGGATTATAGGTATAATATAATATTATGTTAATTTTTAAATAATATATTTTACAGTTACTTTTGCTTAGTACAATTTTTCATACGTTACTATATATTTTTCTACGTCAACAATAAATTTAAAAATTTTAAAAATCTATTCTAAAAACTATATATACAGTAAAAAATTGATTTATAATATATTCTCAATTGTCATTAACATTGATACCCATAATATGTCCGTAGAGCTTTTTTACGATATTAATAGACAACTTAAATATTAAGAAATATATATTATTGTAATTATAATTTTATAACTTTATTACAATAATGATTTGTTATTATATTTTAATGACGACCGATAGAGGTAAGTACGTCGAAATGCACCAAAGTTTTCATAGATTCTTTAAGATTAATAATAAAAGATAAGCTAATTTTTTTCTAATTAAATGATGATAGAATATAAATAATGCAAATTTTACAACAGCTTAACTATCTATTTAAATTAAGAAATACGCTGACTATGTACTTACCAAAAAATATGGTTGATTTTTATATTCTCATTCGTCTTTGAAATTGATTGCCACAGTAATGTATTACAATCGTGTGGTTATTGATTATGAACTAATACTATTCGTCTAAAAATTAACCGAACGCTTTAAAATAAAAAACAACATAAAAATACCTAGGACACAGATTATTAAATTCTAAAAAATTAGGATACATATCATTGTGTTTTACAGGCTATAATATTGATTATAAGAAACACATCGGGTAAATGTTTATTAATTAATCAACGTCTTATTATCTCTAATCACATTAGGTCACCTATTTTATTATAATTTAACTAGTATTATCAGTTTTGATTCTCAAAGTTGACAACCTGATCTAGATGGTAGTTTTATGTTGTATTTTATGTTTTATAGAGTGGTTGTATAATTTTATAATATAAAGGGTTCACGCAACAAAAGGAACATTTTAAATTAGGACCAAATCTATAATTTTTAATTTAAGAATTCTTATATAAAATTACATCGTTGTATTAACTGTTGTCGAATAAATACAACTAAGGAATTACGATTAATTTGTATTCGAACAAACAAATTTAAAAACGTTTTTAGATGTAAAATTTTTTGTATCAAAAACTTATTATAAAATTAATGTTTCATAGTTTTCTTTGAAAAAATAAGTATTTATAAAATTAATGATAAGATATTAACCCTTGTTATAATTCATTTGAGTTTTAAATATAAACAGTTTTAGAAGTGCCTTGAGTTATCTATTAAATTACTCATTGTTAAAATTAGTGCGTACTACAATAACTATTTTACTATCATAACAATAATAAAGATATAAAAACGTTATAAGTAAAATTGTGTAAAAATAATAATAGTTAAATGTTTTAGTCATAAATGAGTAAAATGTGCCTTAACGCGCTTAGGCCAAATGAAAATATTTACTAATTAAATTTAATAAAAATGTATTTTCCTATACCAACTTATAGAACGAATGTTGTAATGCTTTAGTTTTTGTTGGTGTAAATAACGAGTTTTGGAAACAAGGCGTGCCACTTATCATCAATTAGTGCATAAAATTTGCTTGTAACAATTTTTTTTAATAATAAAAACTGCGTTTTCGGACACCTTACTATTAATATTATTATAAGTACCATGATAATTCCGTGTCATGCAAACGTGGTTTTTACTATTTATGCCATGTACAACCAATTTTATAACTCTCTTATTCTATTACCTACCTAGTTACTGTACTAAATATTTATTATAATGTATTTCTTAAAAAATATAAACAACAGATAATAAAAATTGTTTAATATCATACGATTTTATCTTTGAGCATCCTTTTCTTTTTATTATTTATTGTCTATACTTATCTTTTTATTTTATTTTATAATTTAATATGAAGTTATTATTAGATTCTTGTCTGAAATATTATAACATAAATATTTGTAAGCTAATTATTGCACAAATAGTTCTGTTTTAATATTGCTCTTATTTTTTCTTTTATTGATAAACACTAGCTACTTCTTTATACTCATTAAATTGTATATTATATAAAAGACATTGTTGTAATACTTAACTGGCTCATACATTTTTTTATGTAATAATATTCAATTTAATTTGATGACAAGTAAACTATTTGTTATTCAACTAAATATTGATTCAATATAAAATTCTATGTATTATTATTTATTATAAATATGAGTATGTTATAACATAAAATAGAATTTAAATATTTAAAATATTATTCTTATAACTATTAACAAGTTATGTAATGTATGGTATATTTCTTTTTTTATGTAAATGAAATGTAAATAAACTGTTGAGTAGTATGTATATTTTGTTCATTATCCATTGTTCTATTAATACTAATTTTTTAGAGATATAATGGTATTATACTAATTTAATAAGAATAATTACTTAACAGAGTACACAGATTATGCAATCAAATTAATTTAAGTCATCTAAATAAAAATTTGAAAATGCTTATAACACATATTAATGAAATAAATCATAAAACATATATATATATACATGTATAAAATTAAAACAAAGACATATCAAAATTATATTAGATATACAATTTTTGTTTAAGATTGAAATATATATATATATAGTTAAATTAAACAGTAAGATACTTTTATATCAACATAAAATACAGAAAAAATACAATACATAGTTTCATATAACTATATTATTTTATACGAGTACTATCGTACATGATCTAGTTTTTAAAAAACAATTAAAAACTACCAACAACCTATTGTATTTTGGTGGGATATGTTCGTTTTAATAATTGTATATTAAGTCAAAAATTATAAAAGTATTAAAGGAAGTAAATACAAAAAGCTATTTACAAAATAAATTGACATTAATATTTGATTGTTTTAAAAACAAAATAAAGAGTTAAATGTAATTAATTAAAACTTATAGCTAAAAATACTAAAAAATAAACACATTATTACATATTTATCAAATTAAAAAAAAAAAAAATTCTTTCACTACAAAAGTGCTAAAATAACTCTTTAAATTAATATTGAAAATTACAATATGATAGTTTGATTGTAAAATATATTTTGTTAATACAGAATAATGCACATATAAGATTATCAAGATTTATTCGTTTTCTAAATATCAGTATAAAACAATGAATTAAAATTAGAAAAAATTTAATTTTTATTATTTTTGCTGACTGTTTTCAATTTTTCCACTATTGATTGTAAAATATTAGAATCTTTGGGAGTATTTTCAACAATATCGCTTAAAACTCTATTGTCAAAAGATCCAAATATGCAATCAACTGAAATATCTTTGATACATATTTTATGAATATTTGTTAGACAAATTTCAATACATGCCATCATAGGAGCCGTCATTCGATGTAACACAAAACTAGCTTTATTATTTTTATATTTAACACAGTAAACTTCATGCAAAAATAACATACTGTTCATGACATTATGAATAAATTTTACATCTTCTAACAATGATTTTAACAACAACTCCACATGACCGATAGTAAAACATATACGTTTGTACATTTTAGGATTATATTTTGTTGAAATCCAGTTAATCCCAAATTTCATTATTTCATCATCAGTTGATGAAGCAGAAAAAGAAATATCTTCTACTTTGAGAAATGAATGATTATCCACAGTAAAGGAATAATTAATTTCCAAATATAAATTATTATTCAATAAATTGAATATCCATTTGGTATTTGTACATTTTTCTAAAACCAACAATTTATCAATAAAACTATTTTTCCATTTGGTAAGAAATTCTGTAACCTCATCAGCTAAACATTCAGTGGTGGGTTCTTCATTTATTGATATGTCTTGACAAGTTTGATTATTATATATAAATACATTGTTAGTAGACTCATTTATAGATACATCCATTTGATCATCTTCAGATTTTTTATCATATGAGTTTTCTTTTACTGTTTCATTGATACAATTATTCTTGATTGACATATCTTCAGATAAATATTCATTAATCTCTTGAGATAATGAATTTTGATTAATAGAAGTATTATTAATTGATCCATCATTACTATGCAATTTCTCATTCTGTTCAATTTCATAAGTAATATCTTTCTTTTGAACATCATCTATTATTTGTTTGTTATTCAATAAAATTTTATTTTCATTATAACTTACATTGTCAGAGTCAATATTAACAACCGATACATTATTAGTTATTTCATCACTAATACAAAAAGATTCTTGAGTATTAATTTTATATAATGAATTTTCACTTTTTGCTACTTCATGTCTCGAGTTGAATGAATTAGATAATGGTGTACACTCTCTATTGCTGTGACATCTTTTTCTATTCATAGAAATTGAACTATCAGAATTTTGTGAGCAAATATTTGAGATTTCTGCTACTAAGATATCATGAGGATTATGGTCAACAGATTTTTTTCTACAATTTTCTTCTAAATTAGTTGCAGTTGAAGTTTCTAAACTTTTTTTTTCATGAATTGAACTATCATTTATGGTCTTTTCAGTCTGTTTTACAAAATTGTCCATTTTAACGTCACTTACATTACATTCCCCAATAATTTCATCAAGCCTAGAATCATTGTAATCATTTTCATATCCTTCTTTTGCCTCTAATTCATCAGCTTCTTTAAGAATATTATTTATCCTCTGTGAAAAACTACTTTCTTTTTCAAAAGACTGATCTTTTGAGCAAGGTTTTTGTTTAGATGAACTTTTTAATAAGCTTAAAAAATGTTCTTCGTCATTCAATGAAGAACAAGACATTAATTGTTTAATCATGGAAGTATTATGTGAAGAACACATTGAAGCATGGGACTGATCTACTAATTCATTTTCAGCTGTGTGTTCAACTGACATATTCATATTACAAGATTTCTTATCTTCCAAAACATCTTGAGAAAATAGGTTTGTAGATTTTTCAAATAAATTATTATCAATACCACTGGTATTCGCTTGTATAGACTTCTTAGATTTCTTTCTGAAAGGAGAATTCAAATCATTATCATCTACAATGATGTTTTTAAAATCATTATTTATGAGTAGTTCTTTACAACAATGGTCAATAGAATTCAACGGTTGACTATTTATATTATTTATAACCATAGGAGCAAGTGATTTTCTATAAACTTTTTTTTGTTCATTTTCAATATCAACCCCAGATTCGATTATTATATTTCTTAAATTTTCATGGCAAGATTTTTCATCTAAAACAATAGATTTTTCATAATTGATATCAACATTATCTTGTATATTCATCATTGATGAATCCGGTAAAGAGCTTTCAGACAATTTACTAGAATGTGATAAGTTCAGCTCTTGATCATTAACCATTACATTGTCATCAACCTCATTTTTTTCATTAGAGTTTTCAATAGAGTTATTAACATTAACCTGATTATTTTCTATTACTTTCTCAAAAGAAACAGTTTCATATTTTTCATCATGTTCTTCAAATTCAATTGGTGTATGTGATTGTTTAATAGCCATAGATTTTCTAGAATACTTTTTTTGTTTTATTTCATTATTTTCTTCATTTAAAGATGTATTATTATCAATATTCAACAAAGAAACAGGAGCTATTGACTTTCTAGATTTTCTACTTTGAGGAACATTTTCTTCAACAATGGGTGATGTAGAGGGCTCATTTTGAGATTCATATTCGTCGTCTTTTGAAGATAAATTATTCTTTACTTTTTCAGATGAATTTGCATTAATATAATTATTTTCATCATTCTTAAATTCTTCTCCTATATCCATTGAAACTAAATCAGCAGACAATTGTTTATTAATTTCTTCAGTGTCATCAGTATCACCTTTATAAAAATTTTCTTGATTTTGATTGTTATTAAAAATTAAATTTTCTGAACTTTTTTCAGTAATTTGTGTATTGTGAGTACTACTGGATAATATTTCATTAGACAATTCAGCTTCAATACTCATAGAATGACTACTATATTCATTATAGAGAACAGATTTTTCTTTATAAATTTGACCACTATGCATTTTAGTTAACTCCATACAAGAAGATTTACTATTATTTAAAGAATAATCGGTTGTAAAGGATTTTGAATTAATCACTTGATTATCATTTGTCTGATTGTTCATACAAGTAAATTCCATATTACTGGACTGTATATTTCCACAAGTCATGTCCATATTACAAAATTCATTACTAGGTTCATCATCAACCTGATTTTTTGATTCGTCATTTAAAGGTAAAGAAACTTCAGCAGTTTCAAATATAGTCCGATTATTAGCAATTAAAATTTGACATCCTTTGACAGCTTCAGTAAATTCCATGTTATCTGAACTATCAAAATCTAATTTGTTATCCAACGATTCATTATTTTCAAATGTGTAAATAGTGTCTTCTTTAGATATAATTTTACCAGATAATGCTTCAGTTATTTCCATATTGTCATTAGGACTATCATATTCAATGATAACTCGGCAATTATTTTCAACATTAGTACAATTTGAAGGTTCAAAAGTAGTATAAGTATCAGATTTTTCAAATTTACCAGGCGTTTTGGATTTTTCGGTATTTGATGAATCAGATAACATTGAAAATTGTTCATCATACATTGGTGCTTGACAAACAGTTAATGAAGTAGCAGCTGTATTATACATTTTAATTTTATTCATGCCAGAAAAGCTAACTTTCCGTTTCGGTAATGATGCAGTATTTTCATCACCATCTTGTTCAACTGGTTCAATTTCCTTAAGAGGAGGCCTTATTTTAGGAGGTTTTAAAATAGAGCTAACTGACTGTCTACTCGTCATTTTTAAGCTAAAAAATAAAAATAATATTAATGTCTTATTTTTAAATAAAACATTTTAAATACATAAAATCTGTGACTTGTATACAAAAATTACAAAATAGTTTTAAATAAAACTTCTTTATAGAGGGTCCGAAAAAAAAACAGATAATCAAATGTCATAGTGGGTCACTGTTCATATCTCGGTCGGCTGTAAAGTATATTTTATATTATAATTTAGTACTGTATTTTCGGAAATTAAAGTAATTTTATTTAAAATGTATTAAATAATTTAATTTCAAATCATTTTGATTGTGCATAAATAATTTTTAAAAAACCACAATAGATACAATTTTCACACAATATTTTCATAATAAAATAAGTTTTACTTCATCCACTTATAACACACATTGGTTTTTGTTTATATGAACTAGTATAAAGGAAATTTTTTTTATAAAGAATCTAAAATGACAAGTATTTTCTTTAGATGGTATTTCTTAAACTCTAAATTTGTTTATGGTTTATTTAAAAATTACTAACATTTTTGTTATACAATATTTTATATTCCTAGTTTGCAGGTATTAAAAAATACCCCTTTTATTCAACCTTAAAAATCATAAGAATTAAAAATAAATATTATTAAATATATCATACCAATCTAAAATAAAGAAATATTGCTTAATCTTTGTTAAATAAATATCTTATTTGAAAAGATTTGTTGTGAAAATACCACATTAAAATACAACTTGAATAAGCTCTAACAAATTATCATGAATGAAAGTATATAAAAATATAAATTTAACTTATCTAAGGAATACAAAAAAATGATTCTAACACTTATTTTCACTTGAGAAATATTGTACATAAATATATATAAATAAATACTTTATTTTTATTTAGCTATAAAATTTCAATTTAATTATACATTTCTTAAATTAATGCAATAACAGGTATTCAATATGACTAGTACAAGATTCATAATATAATGACTTCTATTTCATAAATGTACCTTAGAATTTTTCATTTAACTTACTATATGAATCAAAATGTATTGTTTAATAATTTTCCAACTAACTGAAATAAATATAAGTATTAAGTAATCACGAAGGCGTATACACTAAGCTTTTCATTTTAATTAAATGAAATAATTTAAACTTGAGACTATTACTCAAAAATCGTTAAAATAACTAAATAATTGAGTATTACAAGTTATAACATACAACTGATTTATGATTGATAATATAAAAACTACATTATAATATCAAAACAACAATTTCCGTTAAATGGCGCCGTTTTTAAAATGTATTTGTCTTGTTATTTTATGCACTTTTTAGGTTACATCATGTGGAATGATAACGGTAAGGTGGTAAAACTGACCATCTTATCTTACTAAAGGTAACATTATCTCAAGGTGTGATCATAGTTATTCAATCATGTTACGTCATGATTGCAGTGGTTCGCTGTTCGTTCATCAAATTTAAAATTTATAGATTATAATTTATAAAACTAGCAAATAAAATGATTTCAAATAATTTCTTATCAGTAAAATTTATTACGTCACTAGAATTTGAACAACCTTAGTTTTTAATTATACTTAATATTTACCATAGAAATCATCATTATAAATAATCATTTGATTTTCCCACTTTTCTTATAAAGCGAAGTCGAACAACTTGTTAGACGTTGTTTGTTTTTCATCGTTTTAATTTATATTGACAACGGGTTGTTATTTATTTGCGGAGTTAACGTCATTAATTATGATGAAGACATTCACTAAATGTTCCACTGTAAAGTTATTTGATTATTTTAAATTAAAAACTCAGTTATTGTTTTCTTGTTCTCCAATCTTTTGATAAATACTTATTTTATATCTGGAGACCCAATGGTACCTTAGGTATATATTTTCAGAGGTCATGTAACAAGAAGCTTAATGAAAATAAAAATGAAGAAATCACAGAATTCATTAACAGAGGAGTCCACTGCTGAAGCTAATGAATCCATAAAGAAACTTTATAAGTGAGTTTACAATTAAAAATATTGAAATAATTTTTTAACAGTATTTTACAACTTTCTTCATATATTTATGAAGTGACAATGTATTTGTGATAAAAATATAGCCATTTGTTAATATTATTTCCTTAATTATATCATTTTAAGTATGATTATAACTTGGCTAGTATTTTGAAACAAATACATTTTTTTTGCTAAATTCAACTTGTATATAATACAAAATATGTATTATCTATGTATCGTTTTTAATTTATATTTCAATTTACTACAACCAAACCTGATAAATTTAATTTTAAACTCAGTAAATAGGTAAAGCCATTTTTGGATATTATAGAAATACATTTTTTCAAGCAAATGGCCATCATTTTAATATGAATTAAGATTTAATTTTTACTGTTTCTAATTAATGAAAATATGTAACATATATATAAGAGTTAAGACATTTATTATTACTGACTAAGTTGTAACAAGATAAACATCCAAGAAAGAAATATTTAATTTCTTGCCTAAATTGTTTTAAAATATCAAAATTGTATTTAAATATAAAAATATTTGAACATAATAGTCATAAATAACTTTTATACATAGTATGTAGAATAGTTTATTTTGTTGTATTTGTATCTTTTAATTTGTTTGTATTTCTAATACTTATATTTTATTTCATATACAATGCGAGTAATAACCCAACATAAAAATTTATGACAGATTAGTTTAACAATTCAAGAATAAGAGTATATACACCAATGTTAATGTTAAAGAATAATATTTTTCAGTACATTTTTTAAGCATTAATTTTTGTTTAATATATTAATCAATGTATATTATAAAAAATCTTATTTTCAAATATAAAATACTAAGTAATTTTTTTAAATATTAAAATTTATAAAAACAATCAATGAGGAAATATGTTAAGTATAAAATTAATTCTATCCTTAGTAAATATATACTTTATATAACATAAGAAAAGGCCATTTGTGCATTTCTAACTAGTTTTACAATCATCTTTTTCTCCATCACATAAAAATGTACTTTGATTAGCCATTAAATGTCAGCTCTGTTTGATCATTATGTTTGGTCACCTTTGCCATAGTGTAAATGGCTTATCACCTATCTAAGTATGGAGAGGATGTGTAATTTTTGACAAATTTATAGGAATTAATTAGTATGTTCTTAAATTAGAGTATTATTTTGTCTCACCATGAAAAAATTTATAATCATAAAAATTTCTTAATACTAATTTATAAATCAATAATTTACAGAAGTATCACTGAAGTTTCTCATTCTTTGGATGATCAGCGGGGCCGTTCTTTAACATGTAAAGATTTATTTACAGTTAATATTGAAATCCAACGATTAAAGTTAAAAAACTATTGTGAGAGAATGATTTTTTCTGATCCATCATGTTATGGACGGAAAGCTGAAGAAATATTGTGGCGAAAAATCTATCACGATGTTTATTCTACAGCAAAAATACTGAAAAAAGTAAAAATACTATTATAAATTTTTGTGCAAAAATGATGTATTAGTTTTTATTTCATTTATTTAGTTAACAAAATTTCTAAACTATTGAAGTTTTGTTTAAACAATCAATTTACTAGTAACATAATTTTTGTTGTTTCATTTAAAATAATCTTAAATTATTTTAATGTTTTCTATAATTAGCTGTGTTACAATAATTTCTTAATTGTTTGGTTTGTTATAGAATAATGTTTGGAATAAAATTGAAGTAGCCCTTCTGGAAAATCATTTTCAAACTGGCATTGGATGTTATTATCATATACTCTTCAAATTCCAAACTGAAATTCATTTTGAAATACCAGGATTATTTGACTTTTTTAAGATATCAAATGATGAATCAGATGCTAATGCTGTTAAAAATAATCAGATAACATTAATGAAAAAAAATGATAAAAGTAATCATAGATCATTATTAAAAAAATTTTAAATCCTTTTTAATCTCAATTTTACATTTACATAAGGTATAAGAGAAGAATTTGGAATGAAAATTATTATTTATCGTTGTTTAATATGCTTGGGTGATTTAACTCGCTATATATATGAATTAAATAAATTGGATTTATATTACGTAACAGCCTGGCGCTATTATAAACAAGCTCTATTGTATAAACCTGACAATGGACTTCCTCATAACCAAATTGGACGTTTAGCTTTAACTAAAAATAACCACTTAGATGCTGTCTATCATTATATTAGATGGTAAATATATTTTTTATATTTATTAGCTGATTTAAAATAATTTAAATCTATAATTTATAAATATTCTAGTGTATTCAGTGTTGAACCTTTTGAAGGCGGCGAGAGGAATTTATTATTGTCATTACAACAAAAATCAGAAAACATAAATAATTATTTTTTGGAAACATTTTTCATAATAGTTGATATTTGGTATAATGGAAAGGATAATGAAAAAGAATTAAATGAAGTAATTATCTATATCAGATGGGATTTTAGTAAAAAAAATTAATCTATAAAATTATTAATTATATACTATTTGTATTTCAGATGTATTCCAAAATAATTACTTGTTTTCAAGAATTATGCTCAAATAATATAAAAAATAAACAAGAATTGCTATGTGATAATGTTAAATCACCACAGGCTAATGATGCTTCTTCACCATCATACAAAGATATTTCACAAATTTTAACTAATGAAAATATTTTTAAACTAATAGTTATTATAACTGCTTGTTTAAAAAAGTTGCATAAAATAGGTAAATAAAACTATATTAATAAATTGCTTATTATTAGAAACTGTATTTTAGACACTATACAACAAAAATATCAGGGGTGAATTAGTAATTACTGGTGGGAGGGGGGTAAATAATTTTTTTTTTTTTTTTTATAATATTTTATATTTGAAAAATTTTATAATTTTGTAATGTTTTTTATACATTAAAAACTTCAAAAAGATTAAATTCAATACATTTGTTAATAAATGATAATATTTCTCGGAAAACCCTATGTTGCATTGAATTTTACTCCACAAGATAACTATATTTTCAGTTGATATTAATCATTTACTCATTACATTAATATATTACTTGATAGAATCTTAGTATGGCTCAGTTTAAGGGAAGGGGGACGTAACCCTGTATCTCTTCCACTAGAAATTCTTTATCATTTTATAAATTTTAATGGAAAATGACTTAGAATTATTACTTAAATAAAATACTTCTGTATTATTGTCTCATTAAAATAGCTTTAATGAGAAAAATTCTGAAAAGAAATTTGATTTGATCTAATGATTCTTGAAACAATTTATTAAAAGGCTGTATATTTTATTATTCTATTCATATATTTATGGAACTTTTTTTTTATAACATAAAATTTTCAACATTTAATATCAACTTTATATTGTATGTAAACACAGCTTTTTATCTTATAATTAATTTTATTTTCAGATTCAAAACATATATCAAAAGCAGAGTTATTTTTTTTTACATTAACAGAGCAATTGTTCACACAATGTGTAAATCATTATTCAAAAACATTACCTGAATTAGTTGACCCTTTTGTAGATCATACCAAATTAAACCGAAGACGACGTAGACGTGGATTTATGAAACATTCTTCTCCTGATTCTCAAGAATGGAGTGAAGGTGGTTAGTACAATCTCATATATGATATTTATAAGCAAATTATATTTTTATTATGACTCACATGCACAATATTGAGGACCAAATATTTTTATTATAATTTAGATGAAGCTGAGAGTGTAATTAGTCCTGATGATGATTCAGATGAAGATGAAAGTGAAGAAGAAATGCTAATTTTTGATATTAAAAGTCCCAATAATGACAAAAATAAAAATGGTAAATTTTTTTTTTGTCTTTATTTGAAATATAATATGTAAAAATCTTGTATACAAAATTTTATGGTGAGATTAAATTAAAGAAATTTGTTTTTAACTATACAAAGTGATTGACTCATGCAATTCAAAATTAGATGATAACTTTTCTTTCTAAAAAATAAAAAATTGTACATACTACTAAATAAAAAAAGAAACTTAGTTCTACACCTTCCCTTATCCATTCAACAGATAATCACTTCAGTTTTTTAGATAACAACTTATTTTTTTGGTATAATCTAATAATTATGGAAATAAATTATTAAAATTACTTTTGAACCAGTATTTGTGGAAATATTAACATTTCTAAAAGAAAGGAAGAGTTAAGATACAGTTATGATTATATTTATTACTAGGTATTCTACACCACAATCATCTCGCCTAGATATAAAAGTAATATAATTGTTTAAAAGATGTTATAGACCAGTTATTTTCTTAAATAGTTTTGTTTTCCAATATTAAAATTAGCTAAATTTATATGTTCAATTTATGAAACTTAAGCTAATATAAAGTTAAGAGTGGAGTTAGATCAAGATTTAAAAAATAACACTAATAGAAATCTTTATACATTTTTGAAATGTAAAATTAGTTGATTTGTATTTTTGAAGGTATTTCATGAGTAAGTTGCATCACTCTGTATAAGTGTATTTATTCAAAAGTAATTTAAAAAATCAGTAATATATAAATAAACATTATGGTCTCTATTTCAACATTTTCAAAAATATAAGGTTTTTTAAATTCAATTGTTTTATGTATTTTTGGAAAAGATTTACTATACTTTTTCATTATATTTAATTAATTTTACTATCAGTAACTTATATTATAATTATAACTATTTGAAGATTTATTTAGCATATAAGAATGTTTTTAAATAATTTTATTTAAATTTTTTTATTGTATAAAAAAAAAAAATAATTATTGTCAGACAAATAACATATTTCTTATCATTTTTTTTTTTTTATTTAATTGAAGAATCTGATGGCTCAAATGATAGTGGTACATCTTCATTCGACTCTGAGAACAAGAAAAACAAAATTCAAGTAACAAATTTACCATATGCTGAAACTATTCATGTATATTAGTATTTATTATATTTTTATAAATTTTAATAGATCCAATTATAAATGCCTATATTTTTATTTTAGATACTTTTATACTGGATCAAACATCAAATCCATCTAATTAATTTAGAACCCTCCCTGGAACTTCTAACAAGCATTGTTAAAATGCTGAACTATATGTCACAGTCAAATATTGAAAATGACTTTCCAGATTTCGATGTTAATCAATTTTTACTTCCAGAAGAACAACATTTGATTGGAATGACAACTTTGTGGGAATCTAAAATGGTTCTAAGTGACATGACTAAAAAGTGCTATTTAAAAAATCAGGTAAATTAGACAATTGTTGATCATAAGTTTCTCAATTGAATTTAAAACAGAAAATTTCAAGTACAGATTTTTGTTTAGTATTATCTAAGTAACTATTTTATTGTACTATGTAAATAGATTAAATTATTTAAACCTATGGTATTAATAAGGTTTTTTTGTAGATATATTTGCTTATGCTATATTTTTTTGGACAAATTGTCTAACTTAATTTGTTACAAAAAAAACTTTAATTGGATTTCCTTTAAATAAAAATATTATTAGTGCCTATAAAATTGTAGATGCTTAAATTATAGATTACTTTAAACTATATAGTAAAAATTGTTCACTTGTTGCTAGTATTATTTAAAATAAAAAATATATATAAAATATTGAATTAAAACAAAAAAATATATAACTCAAAAATCAATAATAAAAAAAAGTGGATACGTATTTCAGAAACAATATTATCATTATCAATGCTAAACACATACAAATCCGTGAGGTTTTTAGTAATTTTTGTGACTTATTCAATTAGTTAGATATATTAGCCTCACCTTCAAACCAAATAAATACATTTTTTAAAACATTTCTTATCAAAGAATATAACAATATTATTAGGATTTCCAACAATTCTCAAAATTGTCTATTATTTGAACAGTATTTTTTTCCATTAATTTATTGTAAAATCTGAAGTCAAAACTTAAAGTAATTGTTTTTTTTTTAATTTATTAAAGTTATTGAATTATTATAGAGGTTTTGAGCTATCAAAGTTTTAGGGGGGAAAATGGACTTTACACTTTAAAAATAAAAATTTTTGAACATAAATTTAAATCAATATGTGTAAAAACCACAATAATTTTCCAAGAACTATGAATATATATATTTTTTTAATAATCAAGGTAACAGAATTTATTTTGTCTTATTGAAGTTCTATATTATTTATAAAGCTATAAAATCTTTAAATAACAAATATTTGATAAGAAATCAAAAATATTATATATAATACATTTAAAAGTGTTTTATTTTTCTCTATATGATCATACTTAATTTAAATACTAAAATATTGCTAATTAACTTGAGCTACTAATTCATTAACAAATCAAATTTATGAATTATAAATAAGCATAAATAAACTTTTACTTTGTGATTATATTACTATCTGGTTATGATGTTTTTAATATATATATATATTTTTTTTTTGAAAACTGCATTCATTCCTTTTTTTATTTAATATTTGAATTATGATGGCTATAATAAAATATCATTCATTATATTTATTTACTTTGATTAAATATGTTTATTTTTATTATAATAGTTTATATACCTCTATATGTTTAAAACATTTAAATATTGGTGAAACTTTAACCTGGTCCTGACTAAGTCCATAACCAGTCGTAATATTTTAGACATTTTTCCAAAAAATTGGTATAAGATTTGACTTGGCAGGTTTCCATAGGGTTAATATGACAAAAATATTAAATTTAAATAATCATAATATTAGAATTTTATATGGGCTTTTTAGTCAAGATTTTTAATTTTTAGGTTATTATTCAATTTTATTGAAAATTTATCAATGTGTTTAATGATATGAAAATTATTTCCATTAAATGGTTTATTTTTTTTTTTTTAATGTAATTTAAATTTGATATTTCCCATAACCACCACTAAACATATTTTCTTTTATTGATCCTCTGAAAAATGACCATTTTTAACATGAATACCTTCTCATAAAAACATTTACTTTAATCACTTAATATCAAGTATATACTTAAAACAGTAGGCCATATTTTGCTTTTTTTTTTTTGACTTGTCATCTTATTAAAAAAAAAAATGTTTGTGAATTTTTGCATTTTTTATCAGTGTAATTTTTAATATAATAAGCAACTTATTTTTGTTATTGTAAGCAGCTATCAACTTTTTAATTTTTAAATTTAATTTATTTACAATTTTTTTATATTTCAGATGTTATATGAATAATTTTTTTTTCACAGGACGCAATTCGTATTATGAAAATTTTATGGTATGCCAAAGAAATAGCATTAAATAATGTTTTATTCACCTATAATAGTGAAAAAAAATGGTTTTCTTTAAATAACACTTTGCAACAGGTAAATAAACAATTTTTTTTATGTAATTCTTAATATGAATTTACTTTTATTACATTGGTGAACTTCAATTTTTTGATGAGTCATATATTTTTATCTACTACATATTTAAAAAAAACAACTAATATTCTTTCAGGGATAATTTATTATAATTTAATCTAATTATTAAATAATCATTTTTGTGATTTTCTTGTTAGGAAATTTCATAATAAGTATCTAAAGTATCCAAGTATTTCAAACATAGCACAGCAATTATCTGCAAATTATTATTTTGTGATATTAAAGTAACCAATATCGTGCTTTGCACATAATCTTCATAGTGGCCATCTGACAATTTTTACGAACAATGGAAATTCTTTTCTTTATTTTTTAATAATAATTTATAAAACTAGTATATCTTAGATTTTTATTTAATAATCAATATTATGTTCCAAACGGATTCTATAATCACTCGATAGTTTGAGTTAATAATCACCTTGTTTGATGTTTATTTTATATACTGCATTTCGTAAGAATGTTTTGGACTTCTCATAAATGTTTTTTTTGCTTGGCATTATAGTAATTCATATATTTAATTTTATATAATGCAGTAAGTTTCAGTTAATATTTAACTCTTATGGTAAAATTAATTAGTGTAATCTAGTTTAAGTAGAATCATTAATTTAAATTGTTAATTAAAATTTGTTTTTAAATTTCATTAAATAATTAAAATTTTAATGAAGTTTTAATTCTCTATGTCTTATTAAAATAACGCTCTTCATTTATTTAAATAATTTTTCTATTTTAAAAAATGAAATATACAAAAAATTTGGGATAGTATATCTGTACTCGATAAATGTACATGAAGTTAAAAAAAACAACCTTTTATATAAAAGATTACAGTAAAAATTGAACAGAAATGCAAAAAAAACTACTTTTTCACTTACCCTCGTAGAGAGTTTGTCGTCAGAGTTGTAGGTATATTGAGCAAATAGAACTCTCCCTTTCTAGTCGTCATTTTTGTAACACAACGAAGCAGTGAAGATGTTGAAAACGGATTTCACCAATAATGATTCGTACAGCATATATACACTCCGATGAAAACGGATTTGTATTATATCCTTTTTCTTTACGATGACTACCCCCTTTTATACTTTTCATCCCAACCCTCTACTTTCCATAATTCTGGTTTTCTTTTATGAGCTTTGTACGGCCTTATAGTTTCAAAGTGATCCGGAAGGAATATGTTGCCTTAGCCATCAAAATTTTTATTGTCTCCGCCTTTTTTTCTCGTAAGCCATTTCCTCGTTTTCTAAGAGTTTGCGTTGAGCGGAAAAAATAACTGTAATAGTCGTGTATGTTCCTTGTGGTATTATTGTGTGTGATCTTTTTGTATATTTGATGTTTTTAGTAGCGTACTCCTTACGTATTATTTCGCCCCGTTTTATCGGTTTTATTTACTGCCGGCAAACTGTCCATACAGACTATAAAACTCTTATTAACAATGTCGTCGCCTAAACTATTACTTTTGCGGTTAAATCGTTAAATCTTTTCTATATTGGAACTTTTGTTATTTTAATTAATCCCTCGTCCGAATGGCTTTTAAAGAAATTTAATCGTCCGGACGAGTGCAAAATTATACTATCCTTAAGATACAATCGCTTAATCTTCGTTTCACAGTCATTCAGTCGATTTATGAACTGAATGACTGTGTTTTCTCTTAGTCTTGACCCTTAAAATTCGTTGCAGTTGTTCCTTCGGCTTATCATCAGTCAATTATCATAAATATGCATCACTGTTTTTGTCGCCTATAATTAAAACTTGCAGTATATTATATGTAGTATATTTTAAAAGATGTCTGAAATTTAACTAGATAACACTGCTAATCGTTATTTAATTAACACCTAAAGAAAAGTTTAAAAAAATGTTGAGGTAAAATTCGACACGTTCGCGACGGCAATCTCTTTAGCGTGTTATATAAATATTTGATAACAAATACGCAATATTTTCATGTTTGTTTTTTTCAAATATATTTTCGACGCCGTTACGTGGTTGAAGAGAAGGCTATAAAAGGAAGATTTTTTCTTTCTCGCTATTGTATATACACCACCAAACCTTTAAGTGTTTACTAAAATGACTTTAAGGGAAATAGTTGTAGTAGTTGCTGTTAAAGCAAGTGAACAAAGTTTCAGGGAGCTTGACTGAAAGGGCGGGTAGACATAGAAATTTATAAGCGTAAAGCTTCGAGGTTAAGGATCGTGGTGAAGGAGCTAAGTCCTTTTGCCGAACGTTTAACCGTATTCCTTTATTGTCGTACAGTCTGTCAGTTTTATGACTGTGTAATACTCGTTGGAGCCTGACGGTTTTAACTCAAAGTAGGGGATAAGGAGAATGACTGCAATAAAAGATTCCAGACATATTAAATACAGTCAATGAAACGGAAACTAAGGACTAACACGAACTCGAAGTACAAACTACGATTTTTATTCATCCCTTCTTCATATTGTAATCGTTATGCGTTATTAATGTGAAATAACGTAAGGTTAGGTTTCGTTATTACAAAGTGATTTCAAATGAAAGTTTTTAATTCTTTAAAGCAAATATATCACCTAAAAGTCGCTAAACAAATTTTTAATTCGTAATTTAGACCTTAATATGCTTATTATAACTTAAAAAGTGTTTGACTTGGGACCTCAACTTCTCGGGATATCCTTAAATATTTATTAGAAAATATTATGTATGAAATGAGCCAAATTCTCGCTTAATTATCCCCATAAACATGTCTGTAATGTAAATTTTAAAAAAATTATTTCAGCAGATTGAGGAAAAATCTAAATTGGACAACAAACGAGACAAACAACATGTTATGGGCCAACTTTGGCTTCGAGCCGAAGTAGATAATCTTGAAGTACAAATGAAATACACTTCTAGAAAGAAAAATTTACCTACATGTATTGTATTAGACACAGACGCTCTGATCAATTATTCACTAATAGTAAAAAAATTAGTGAATAGTGCAATGTTTATTGTAGTAATTCCCGCTATAGGTAATACATACTTTTGATATAATTTGTTGTTTTTAATATTTTTAAAACTATTTCAGTAATATCAGCATTAGATGAACAGAAAAAATTAAGTAAAGAAGTCAGGTTAACAATACGTTGGTTAGAATTTCAGTTACAACAAGGTAATTGCAGTTTGAAATCACAAGGCCTACATGAATCAAAACCGATAAAAGTAGAAGAAACAATTAAAATCTCTAAAGAAATGTGGTATGTATTTTTATTTACTATTAAACACATAGATGTTTGATGAAAATTATAATTTTTTTTTTTTTCAGTAATTTTAAACATATCTTGGAATGCTGCAATTACTTTACAGATGAATGTGGAGAAAGTAATGGAATTGTTACGCTTATAACTGGATCAGATGATTTATTAAATTCGTTAGATATGATGCAAATGGCAAAATCTATTAGTAAGTTTTTATATAGTTTTTACTAATATTAATATAGCTATTATATTTGATATTGTTTTTTTAGAAATAAATATTGAACATATAAAAAAACTTCAAATGCAATTAAAGATGGCAAAAAATAAGGGTTAATGGGGAAAATATTAAATTTGGTTGAAAATTATGATATATTTATTGTTTACTGAACAATATTTTACTGTCGTACAACAACATATGAGAATTTAGTTGTACTGTAAACGATGCTGATGTTTCGAACTAGCTAAGGGATGCCAGTTAAAATTTTGAAGAAATTGCTGGACACAGCATAATATTACTTATTGATGTATTCATCAATCCTTACATCTATTTCAATAAAAATAAAACTGTAAATTTGTGGTTATAATAATAAATCAAATAACCCAAAAATATTTTTTTATTTTATTGTGTCACTAGTATATATTAAAAAAATATACATTCATATGTAAACTATGCTTTCACTAGTTAAAATCTTAACTTCTAATTCCCCCTCAATAAAATTTCATTTTATTTTATATTTTTTATTTAATTATAATATTTATTTTGTGTAACTTCTATAATGTTTAAATTTCATTATAATCTATTTCTTTGCTTATGTTTATTTCGATTTCTAGGAACTTTATTTTAAAATAATATAATGCATAATTATGTAAAAAAAAACTATCTGTTGTTTTAATCTTACACCTATTATAATATCAATTTTCCTTTTACTCGGTTAACTTTTAATTGAATTCAATTTTTGTGTTCTGCAATATCTTGAAAATTATTGATCATTCTTGTTCATTTACATACTACTAAAGATAATTTTAATATATGACTACCTGATTTTCGGTACTTTATTTTCAAAGCATAACTTAACTTGACTAAGAACTTATTGCATTATGTTTAAATTTATTGTTGTTAAAAAGTTTCTGTATAATAATCAAATATGAATATTATAAAATTTATTTTTAGATAAATTTTTTAAAGAATCATTTCATGTTACTTTTATATATATAAAATATATATAAATATATATAATTCTTATAGATATAAGAAGTTTCAGAAAGACTATTAGACTTATACAATTGAAGTTAAAAACTAAAATCATGATTTTCTTTAAAATCAGATACTTGACAATCAACATGATAATTATTGGCCTTTAGTCCTTACTTTGAAGGCTCATTTTGGAATCACTTGCTGACAACTCACATATTTTTTATTTGTGAAGAATAAACTTTCGACTTTTGACTTTCGCGCGTCGTTGCTATCAGGATAAATTAATTAGAATTTTTTCCCAATGTGCCTACTTTCTCGATTATTCTCGTCTGTATCAATAGTTGTTATAACTGTTAATTTACAGTAATATTTCAGTTGCATCTCATTTGTGTTAGACAAGCCTTGTTTATATCAATTGGTAGTTTAATGATAAAAATTTCGGCAATTTTAGAAAAATAAGGTAATGCGTCAAGTTAAATATACCGACGTATATTCATAAGGAATTTTTTTTAATTAATATTGATTGTAAGTATGATTTGATGAAAAATCAAAAAAAATTTCTTATTATTTAGAGTTTTTGTTATAGCATCTGTTATAATGGCTCTGGCAATATTAGGAAAGAACTAGTTTTACATAAGAATAGTCTCGTGTACATATTCCTTTTCTAGTAAAAATAACAGGAAAATTTTTTTAGAAGAAAAAGTGTTTTTTTCTTGTTTTATTGGTTACTTTCATAATTTTTTTAATCTTGATATAATAAATTGTACATATTTCAAAGCGAAACCTAATCGTTCTCATTTTAGCATAGTGTACCTACAATAACTACAATGTTACGGCTGATAGTCATCCATAATATTAATTTCATGAAATACATTTTTTTTTCTGTCAACTGGCACAACATTAAAAGTATGTTGTAAAAGTGAGCTCATTATAATTACCCTGCTACATATTTAAAAATCCTCTCCGATTAACGACAAAGATTGCACCTTTTTTTATATTGTAATCATTTTCTTTTAGCCTCTCTAATTACACCCAAAGAAAATTATAACAAAAGTAAAATGTAGTAAAAGTAAATTTGTAGGTAAATATATTTATACCCTTTTCAGAATGTGTGGATACGTCAACTTCTATTTGTTTTATTTTGAAAAATTATCTCTATTTTTTACATTATTTCAAAATTATAAATAATACTCAATTATTTAACACAACTACCTTAATTTAAATTTACTATGCGAATGCAATAATGACGACATTTGAGTATCCGTTTCAAATCGTTACAAATTAAATGTTAACATTTAAAATAAAATCAATTTGACTGCCAGCACAAATTAGGGAGCTATAAATTTATATTTTCTGCAATTAGATGAAGGTTTCCAAATTCCCAGAATAATAAAGTGAATAATTGAAAGCTAAAAATAATTTCATTAGTGCTACAAACTTAACATCCTTATTGGTATTATTCATGCGTCGATAATTTAAATTTGATATTATCTACTTAATATAACGAAGTAATAAACAAAAAACGGTTGTATTAAAATCATAATATCGTGTGGTCCGATAAAAGAACTATACGATTATCAGTGGCAGTTGCATGAACCCGGCAACTCTGCAGATTGACGAAACTTTGCTTTTTATTGTTATTTTTAGGGCCTCACACTTCTACACTTCTATACACAGAGCCATATTTAGGGGGGTAATGTATCCCTGCGGCAATAAAATATGCAGCACTAAATATTAGATAACATTATAATTATTTTAAACGTTAAACGAAGACATTTTTTTATAATATAATTTTTTATGTATATAATTTATAATGGATTTTATAAAGAATTATTCTTTTAAAATTAAACCAAAATTTACGAGTTATGATTATTATTATTTGATAAGTAATCGAATATTTGTGGTAGAAATATTTTATTATATACTTTTTATTCTGTTGTAATATTACAATTATTGGATTAACATTATAATTATAATGTTACTCCTGTTAGCATTAGGCTTTCCTCGAAAATTCTTAATCGCCGCCTAGCGAGAAATTAAATGCGAACAGAAAATAAGAAAATGAAAAGTTTCCAAACGCTCATGACTAAAAAAAAAATAGGTTGCTTTCAGTGAGGACGCCATAGAAAGAGTATATAAGGATCACGATTCTTTACGCAGAAAGTAACTGCCTTGATATACTAAAAATATTAAAATTTAGTATTCATTTAATTAAATAATTAAATTATTAACAATTTATTCTATTTGGCGTTTTACATGAAATTTAATAATGACATAAATTGCTTTGTTCATAGATTTAGCTTTGTAAGAAATGTTACTTCAGTTTATTTTACCAGCCTACGTTGATATAAACTCATGAAATACCACCAAACAAAAACTATTTATTTGCTGAATATGTTCATGGCTTATTCAGCTGGTAATTTATTGAAATCTAATTTTTCATTCGAGCCCTTTTAGGAAATATTTCCTTGGAATCACGGCATATTTGCATACTCTAGAATTATTTTGATGCATTCCATTTCATTGTGAACTGCTCTGGATAAACATATTACACTAAAAATTATTTACATTTAAATCTAATACAAAGTGATAGGCTTATCAAAACTCAATTACTCTCAAAATAAATACAACTTTGTAAAAAAAAAATCTTTTTTTTTGATTACATATATTTCTAGCTAATAATTACTTTTTAGAATTATTCCTTATAACTTAAAGGGATAAACTTTATTTTTTTACATAGCAACATACATATTTAACTAGCTTATAAAATAAAAAATAATAAAAATAAAGATAATGACTGGAGGAGAGGAGTGGGTGCTAACATCCCATTTTTACTGTAGGTAATGTTATAAAATCTTATTGCTTAAATTTAATAAAAAAAAAAATACTTAAAAAATCAAAATTGTTTTATTTCTTATTTGATTTTCTATTGATCTCATATATTATCTTCAATATTTTTAATTGAACGCATTTATTTAACTATGATGCTTTTAGCTTCAATATATTGCTATGAAGTTATTGGTATTAATATGTGTTTTTCCTACCTATTCACATTAATATTTGCCTATTGTTAGATCATTATTAATCAAAAATATATTATAGATTAAACTACAATTGTATTAAACTCGTTTTTTCTACGTATATATCAGCATAATTGAGTTGATAATAATTATAGATAAACACAAAAAAAACAATATCTTATCAGCTTTGCATTAAAACTAAAGAAATAAAAAAATTGAGATAATGACATCGTTTTCAAATCTATACTATATTCTCTATAATAGGACAAAGAAAAACATCTTGTGCTAAAGAAAATTACTTGGTGTGCTGCGATTTGCAAATTTTGTTTTTAACCAAAGTACTAAGTAATTTCGGGAAAATAATTGGCCAAAGTAAATAAGTTGTTACACTCCATTCGCGAGCGATTTAAAGTTTTGACCACTTTCAAAAAAATGTTTTTAAACACCGAAGTTTAATGACTTAAGGTCTGAAAATTTCATCATTACCACTCAGAAAGATATCTGAAATATCATATAAAAAAAATTCAATCCGTTTAATTTTGAATGTACAGTGAGCTTTTTTTAAGTCCATAGAAATATTTTTAAGAAGGCGCCTTCCTTTGAGTATACTATCTTTATCATAACTTGCTTAAGTATTGATAATTCATTAATTTTCGTTTTTATGCAAAATTAAATGTCACAATTTCAATGTAATATTATCATTGAAATATTTTTTTACATATATCGTATACTGTGTCACTACCCTAAATTTTTAATAAGTTATTATATTTTTGTGTGTATTTTAAAGTACTTATAAATAATTTTTTTTCTATTGATTTTTGAATGTCGGTTATTATATTTAACTAGTATAATTTTTTCCATTAAAAAAAAATAATTATAAAAATACATTTTTTTCCATAAAAATATCTTAAATTTAAATGAAAATTACAATTAATATTTCTTTTTAATTACATTCCATATTTAATAGAGTTTTTATAAGTTATGTCCTTCTGTAATTTACATTTATCGTTACGCACGATATATTTATCGTGCGTGGCATATCTGTGTATCTCTTTAGGAAGAAAAAGTAACAGGCTTTACAGTTGTGTTACAATAAGTTATTGTGTTAAATATTCAAAATTAGCTGTGTGTAGTATTGCAAGAAGCTATACAATAACTATTACAAATCTTATGAAATTTTTATGGCGTAAAAAAAAATATTAAGACATTTAATTAACGTTTATAACGATAATTTATAACCTTTTTATAAGCTTATTGTTAGTAGCCACGTATCATATACACCGCAAAAATAGATTATTCTGTATGTTAGTAAAATAAATAGTGTATTTTTTATTTTTATTTTTCTCAATTTGTTTTCCGATAAATAATGTTTTAAGTGGGTTTTATCTGAAACTTATTATATATTTTTTAGCATTCTTATGTGTGTTATAAAACAAAAGTAAATCTTTTTACTTAGTATTCTTTCAGTAAACAATATTGTAAGTATTATTTAAAGAATAATTATATATACATACTCATTAGTTTAATATTAGATAATACTTAATATTTATAATTTTTAGTAATTAATTCAAGATGTCGATTAAAAGTAAAATTGTATTAATTGTTTTTATTATTGGTAAGAAATTTAATTTAACAATTATTATTAATGTGAATTATGACTCAGTATCGTGTTCCCCTTACCTGCACATTACGTAATGTACCTATATTGAAGTATATTGGGTTTGAATCATATGGGCTGTAATCTCGTAATGTGCCTTTTATAGTTTCGATTCGATGCTGAGAAGGTATTTTACTATAATATGTTTTTTTTTTTAATTTTTTTTTTTTTTATGTCTGTATACGCTCAATCTCAGCTCTCGCTGGACCGATTTTGATGAAAAATATGTCAAAAGATCACAAATCGTATCTAGTCGAAGACATTACCCTCAAAATTTGAAAAAAAAATCCCTCGTTCCCCGTAAACGGGGGAAATCCCCTAAAAAATTACAAATTTAAAAATCGCTAATTTTCGACATTTTTTCAATTTTTTTTACTTAAAATTGCTATAACTTTTTTAAAAATGACTAAACCAATATAATTTTTTTTTTATAGATACCTTAGGTATTCGCCTATCATTTTATATATTTTTGTGANTTAGATACCTTAGATAATTACCTATCATTTTTATATATTTTTGTGAACATTTGACCCTTTACAAGCCCACAGGAAGGGTTTCAAAATGGTAACTTTTTTACAAAAAATTAACTTTTTCAACTTAACTTTTGAAAATGTTCCGGAAAGACTGACAATTTTATATATACCTTAAATTAAAGCTAATGTAATATACTTTAATTTGAAAAAAAAAAATTTGACCTCTGGACTTGTCTTCATGGTGAAAATGACTACCGTATGCAAAAATATGCTATTTTTGTGAAAAAATTCTTGATATTATATTTTACATTTTTTAACATTATGTTGCTATAACTTTTTAAAAAATGCATGAATCAACTTTATTCTTTAATGATAAATACTTTATATATACTTCTTTCATTCGACATACTTTTTTTTAAAATCGGACCATTTCCCTTTATACAGGGGGGGTGCAAACCTTTTAAAATGCGTATAGAAAGTAGAACTTTTTCAACTTAACTTTTGAAAATGTTCCGGAAAGACTGACACTTTTATATATATCTTAAATTAAAGCTTATGTAATATACTTTAATTTGAAAAAAAAATTTGACCTCTGGATTTGTCTTCATGGTGAAAATGACTACCGTATGCAAAAATATGCTATTTTTGTGAAAAAATTCTTGATATTATATTTTACATTTTTTAACATTATGTTGCTATAACTTTTTAAAAAATGCATGAATCAATTTTATTCTTTAATGATAAATATTTTATATATACCTATTTAATTCGACATACTTTTTTTTTAAATCGGACCATTTCCTTTTAAACAGGGGGGATGCACACCTTTTAAAATGCGTATAGAAAGTAGAACTTTTTGAAAATGTTCCGGAAAGACTGACACTTTTATATAGATCTTAAATTAAAGCTTATGTAATATACTTAAATTTTTAAAAATAAATTTGACCTCTGGACTTGTCTTCGTGGTAAAAACGTATATCAAAGTTAAAGAAAAACTTACGATTTCCGTAAAAAAATTGTCGATTTTATATTATTAAATTTATATTGTTATAACTTTTGGAAAAATGTATGGATCAATATTATTATTTTTTTATAATAAATTAATATATACCCCTTTCATCTGACATGCTTTTTTTGTAAATCGGATCATACCCCTTTATACAAGGGTGGTCAAAACTTTAAACATGCGTATTGAAACTAGGACATTTTCAATTTAATTTTTGAAAGTATTCCGGAAATACTGACACTTTTATATATATATCTTAAATTAAAGCTTATGTAATATACTTTAATTTGAAAAAAAACATTTGACCTCTGGATTTGTCTGATTTGATGGTAAAAATGACTACCGTATTCAAAAATATACTATTTTTGTGTGTAAAATTCTGGGTTTTGTATTTTATTTTATTTTAAAATACCTGACAAGGGGAGTACAGATTTTCATAAATATTATATAAATAAAAAATTGATATAGCATAGAATGTTAAACTTATTTAAATTTTTTTGCTTTTTGAAGTCGAGAAAAATAATTTTGAAATTTGAACTAGCTTAAATAGCCAATTTTTTCAGTTAATGGTAACGACGTACGGTTGCCAAATCGGTTGAACTTGTGTTTTTCGCGATTGGGGTACATGGTTCCACTCCGCGTAAGAAATGAATTTTTTGCATTTTTTCTTAATTATTTTTAAATTAGAATAAATTTTCAACTGCTTTGATTTTTATCTCAATTAGATTCAATAACTTCAATAAAGATCAAGGATCCCATCACTGTAATCACCACTAGCGAAAAGAAATTTTTTATTCAAATTAAAATTATTTTACTATATTTTAAGTTTTAGCTTCGATGCAAAGCTGAGTAGATATTATTTTGTAACTATCATTTATTTTCTCTGCTCTAACTTGACCTACATTTTTCAACGATACGTCAAATGACTACAATTCGTATCTAATTGAAGATATTACCCTCATAAATTGAAAAAAAATTCTAATTTATCAACGAAACAATTAATTATCCCATGTTCTCCATACAGACAATTAAAATCATTAATTTCTAATGTTTTCAAAGTATTGATTGACGAATCAAGTTTGATATGATAGGTTTCAAATACAAAGTTAAATTATTTTACTATGTAATTTAATCATTTTTTTACTCTATTTGTGTGTGTGCTACTACTAGACTATAATATTCCAAATTTTTTGGTAACATGTGCTATATAAATAATTTCTAAAAAAAATGATAGTTAATTTCTCCTGAATTAACAATGAATTTTTACAATAACAATCAAATTTTATAATACGCTCAAATGAGTAAATCTTTTTAACAACTTTGTTTTGATTGGTTCATTTAATTAAAGCAAATCATTAAAATAAATGGGGCAACTCACAACACATAAAACATATGAACACAAATACCTAAGGCGCTGGTTTAGGCCGGCGCCTTAGGTCCTCCTGTACTCCAGAGTGTCCCGTTCTTGGGCCCACGCCTCGCACCGGAAGAGGGTGTGTAGAGCGCTGTCTGCCTCTCCCGGGCAATCCCGGCAGTGGTCGCACGTAGGCGCGGCTGCCCTCCTAATACCGTAGAGAAATTCGTTGAAGCAGCCGTGGCCAGACATTATTTGCGTGAGACGTTAAGACATCTCACCTTGTGTCCGGTCCATCCACCTCTCCAGGCGGTCGGGTCCAATGAGGGACCTGGTCCACTCGCCTCTCGCAGTCTCCTCCGAGAGGCGAGTCCGCCACCGGAGCATGGTCATCCGCCTGAGCGCCAGCCGGTCCTCGGGTTCAAGGGACCGGTTTCGCTCTCGGCGGAGCTCATGCCCGTCGGCGCGTTCCTCGGCGAGCAGATCGGCGGGCGGCAATGACGACAGGATACCCGACGCCACTCCGGACACCGTTCGGTAAGCCGAAAAGACAAATCCAGAGGTCAAATGTTTTTTTTCAAATTAAAGTATATTACATAAGCTTTAATTTAAGCATCTTAACGCAATGGGGGTATCGGAATCACCATTGTGCAGAAAATGTGGAGTAGAAGAGGAAGACTCATTTCACATCATGTGCGAATGTGAAGCCTTGTCCACACTAAGATCAAACTACTTGAATAAACCATTTCCTGAAAAAGAGGATATTAAAAACCTAAAACCCAGGGAGATACTTAATTTCGCCAGAAAGACAGGACTCTTTGGTCATCTCTAGAGGTGACTTTATGGTTGGTAATGTATTAACACTTTGGTGATAACACTTAGGTGGGTAAACCGAATCAAGACAATTCGGTATGAGGTGCGCACAATGGACCAACAGGTCTGAGTGCATGGGCATTATGTCCACCTCAATAATAACTAAAACTAAAACTAAAACTAAGGCGCGTTGCAGTACTATAAAGGGTCGTACATGACAGCGTCATTGCCGACGGTACAATCACGACGTGATAGGGCAAGTCATAGGCTCACCTTATCATAGCATAGAGTAAAAGCGTAATATCATAAGGTTGTAATGCTATGAGCAAACTGTAGTAGGTTCAGGTATGACGTCATAAGGCATACCTTATATAAGAGATTGGGTGTGACGCCAACAAAGGGCCCACCATAGGGCTTACCATAGGTCAGGATTTAAGTGTGACGTCACCTAGGGGGATAATGTCATGAGCTGCACTTGGATGCACCTTAATGCAGTTCCCAACAGGCGCCGAGGCCAGGGGGGTTACAGTAGGTCAGGTGAGACGTTACTATGACGGACTGCATCTCACCTGTGCAACTATTGTTCCCCAATTGACGACGTAATTAGTCGGCACCTTTGAGTGCTCGTAGCGCACCTTTTGTTTTCCGAGAATAATAGCCCATTGTTCTAAGAACAATAGATGAAGTCATTGTCGGCACCTTTGAAGGCCCGTACCCGTTATACATATACAACTATTATGGTAAAATAAATTAAATTTTTTTTTTTATTTAAAATGTTTCCATTTAAAAAAATAAAGTTGGCCCCCTTACAAGACATAAGGGATGAAGTTAAAAACTATTACATAGTTAATAATTCAAGAATAATGTGTAACTAAAGATAACCAAAAAAAAAAAAAATGTTTATATATATTTATTCTGTAAGTAATTGAGTGGGTTATGATAAAAAAATCTTCTATTTTGCTAAAATATTTAACATATTTCAAGCACTTATTAAATTTATGTTTTAAGAAACTAAATAATCGTATGATAATTTTTTAATTTTTCAGTTGTTACAGCACAATGTGGTAATTTTTGGAAAAAGTTTCTAAGTAGTAAGTAACTTTTGCTAATACTAAAAAATATTTAAGGTTCTAAAAGTAATGAAAGCAAAAATTCAGGCTAGAAAGAAGTGTTTTTTTGGATTAGCAAAGCAGTTAGGTTCTCGATCTTTGCAAAGGGATTTAAAATTACAATTAAATATAAGAACAAAAGTTCATCCGGTGGTCTAATATGATTAAAAGTTAACAAGTACAATCTATATAGTGGTTATAAATTAAGAATATAACAAATTATTATCGTTATGATAAATGAGATGTGTGACTCAAAATTAAACAATATTATAAAAATATCAAAACAATTGAACTGAATTCGCTAAGTGTAGCAATAACAACAAAACTGGTGGTTTAATACGCCATGTTTTTTACAAGTCTTGGTACCAAAAGTCAAAATAAATATTATTAAATTAATATTTAATTGAAATTGAAAAAAATCTAAGAATAAGATGGATAAAGTTGTAAATTTTATCCAACTAGTAAGCCAAAAGGTTTGTTTTATTTTACAAATTATAAACAAACAATTTATTTTAACAATAAACTAAAATTATTGTTTAAGCCTATACAATAAGTGTAGTTATTGCTGTGTATATCTTATCGTAGTTCGGCGGCAGTACAGTCGTCAGGTTTTATAATAGAGTAGTCTACCTTTGTAAAGCGCACCGTCGTTCGTGTACACATAATATACGCATATTCATTTTTTTGTAGTTAACGTCTGATTTTAATTTGATTTAAGATCTTTTAGTAATAACAGATCACGCCCAAACATATTGCCCTTCGCCCCGAACGTCTAGTGTAGTTCAAAAACGCGAAAATGCGAAAATTTGCGTAAACTAAGTCGTTATTAGAGTACGTGAGTAAAACGTTATATGTGCGTGTTTGTAAATAATTCTAACAAATCGAATTAGAAAAAAGTTAATTTCTACCCAACGTAGTGCGTAGCAGCAGCGATTTCTATACGCTATATGAATAGAATAATATTATTAATCGAAATTCGGCTTAGGAGAGAAAAAAATTGAGGAAGCATGATGCGAGTACAACCGAGTACATTTGGAAATCGACATGCTAGAAGGGGTAAACGTAGAGGAACAGCAAAATTATGGAGCTAATTTTGAAGACTCATACTTTAAAGCCAGTGCGATTGCGGAGAAGATGCAAATCTGAATTAAGTAGGGTAGTCAGACGCTGTGGTAGGGAACGCGAAATCAACAATAGCGGCACCAATTATTAGATTAGCCCCGCTAGATATCCCATTATTTCATGGCGACTATAAGCAATGGACAACGTTTCATGATATTTTTTCTGCATTAATTCATAATAATGACCAATTGTCAGACATACAACATTTTGTTATTTTTTTTAAGCAGCTTTAGAAGACTATGCCAAACAGGCTGTCAATTGTTTGGAAACGACGGCGTCAAATTACAAAGTGGCATGGTAGACATTTATTGAAAGATATAACAATAAAAAAAGTCTACTACAAGCACATGTAAAAACATTATTTAACTTAGAGACATTAACGGTAGAATCAGCGATTAAACTTCGAGCGTTTACAGATTCAATAAAAGGACACATACAAGCAATAAAGGCACTTGATCAAGAGCCAAAGTCGTGGGGTCCTATGTTAATGTACGTAGTTACCACCAAGTTAGATAGAAGTTGTCTTCGAGCATGGAAAACGTAATCGGCCCAAAACGAACTTTCTACAGTTATCGATGTTTTTGAAGCGGGATTATTATTGGTAATAAATTGAACGCTCACTTATGAATAATTTGTTTGATATTTTTTAGTTTTGAAATTAATGTAATAAACATTAAATTTAAATAAGAATGAATAATTTGTACACAATATTTGTTCCTTTTTTTATGTATCATTAAAACTTAAATGAAAAGATTTAAATACAATCGTGACTATGAGCGCGTCACTGATGGTTCCGAAAGCTATAGTCTTAGCGGATCCGCGTTTCACCATGCCACAGAAAATCGACTTATTATCGGAGTGAGTCACTTCTATGATTTAATGTGTGCAGGGAAAATAAACCACGACCAGATGGTCCTGTATTTCAGGAAACAAAATTTGGATGGGTGGTTGCTGGTTCATCGGAGAATAAGCAGCTCAATAGTATGAGCCAACATATGGCGGTTTTCCTCACGGTAAACATCAATTTTAACCAATCACTAGAAAATATACTGGCCAAGTTTTAGCGCTTAGTAGAGTACACCGAAAAAAATGTATGGACTTAAGAAGAAAAAGCGTGCGAGAAATACTTTAATCGTACAGTTCAACGCGATGAACATGGAAGGTCCATGGTACAATTGCCATTCAAAAGTAACGACAGCCTATTGGATAAATCATATGAAACGGCAAAAAAGTGATTTTTATCGTTGGAGCGTCATCTGCAAGTAAATGCCGATATGCGAGTAGATTACTCAAAATTATGAACGATTACGAAAAGCTAGGATACATGAAACTTGTGACTGATGAGGAGTCAAAAAAAAAGGAAACTCGTTGTTGTTATTTGCCTCATCACGCCGTCATAAATAATAACAGTACAACCACTAAGCTTTGAGTCGTTTTTGACGCGTCATGTAAGACCGACTCGGGTCTTAGTCTGAATAATGTGTTATTAAAAGGGCCTGTTATACAGGACGATCTGCTTTACATCCTGGCTCGATTTCGTATGTGTAAATATGTACTGACGACGGACATCAAAAAAATGTATCGACAAATAATAGTAGATGAGAGCCATCGTGATTATCAGAGAATTGTCTGGCGTGATAATTCCAACGAGCCATTGAAAATCTACCGTCCACGAACTGTGACGTACGGTACAATAAACGCAAGTGATTTGTCAACAGCTTGCCTAGAAAAGTTAGCTAAATGTGAATTCAGTAGGTATCCTGACGCGTGTCAATCATTAGTAGATGACTTTAATGTGGATGATTAATTTAGCGGTGCAATGAAACAGGCAGAGATAATAACATTAACATTGCCGTCGTGAAAGGTGCCGGTCTACATTTACGTAAATGAGTATCGAACGATAATAGTTTGATAAGTAATTTATTAACTACCGAACACAATACAGATAGCGACGTTCCGCGTATTATTGATAACGATATGACACAAATTTTAGGCCTGTGTTGGGATCCGCCATCGGATTCATTTAAATATACAGTAAGTGAAAACATAATAAACAATAACAATATAACAAAGCGAACAATTTTATCGAATATAACCACAATTTTTGATCTCCTTGGTTTGCTCGGACCGGTATTAGTTGTTACAAAAATTATCATGCAACGTTTATGGTGCATTCAACTCTGTTGGAACGTAACAGTTTCGGCGGAAGTCGCCAGCGAATGGCGTCATTATAGTGCACAATGAACAACATTAAACCTGATCAGTATTTCAAGATATATGTTATGTGAAAATAAAATCGTTGAATTGCAGCTACACGGTATTGCCGATTCATCTATCAGAGCGTATGGTGCATGTATTTACATTAGAAGTACGGACGAAAACGGTTATCACACGGTGTGTTTATTACAAGCGAAGTACATAATAATGATATCGCTGCCTCGACTGGGGAATTGTGCGCAGCGCTATTATTAACACGTATGGTAAACGGAATAGTGCCGAAGTTGAAATGCAAATTTGATCGACAATTTTATTGGATTCGAGCATAACCCTCGCTTGGATTTCATCTCCATCTGCCAAATGGAAAACGTTGGTGGCGTATCGTGTTGGTGAAATACAAGACAAAACGTCCCTTAATGATTGGGGTCAAGTCCGCTCAGAGGACAATCCTGCCGATTTAATATCACGTTGCTGTACTCCAAGCGAATTGCGAATTAACGCGATGTGGTGGAACGGTACTTATTAGTTGAAGGAGGAGTACGAGAAATGACCGAAGTCATGTGTACAATATAGTAATGCGGACAATATACCAGAAGTAAAAAATACGGGCGAAACAACAATTACGACTGTCGCATTCGTAGCGGACGATAAATGATATTCGTTGTTATCTAGAAGGTCGTCGTTATTATTTATCATCAAAGTGACGGCGTATTGTCTACGATGGCGGTATAATATGAATCGAGCAGTAGGTGACAAAAATAATGGGTCGTTAACGGTAAATGAACTAGATAGTGCAAATACGACAATCATCAAAATAATTCAACGTGAACATTTTCAGCAAGAATTGAGAGTTAAATAGTGCAAATGCGAATGTGTCAAAGAAAAGTAAACTACTTCGTCTTAGTCCATATACCGATGGGGATAATATTATACGCGTCGGAAGACGTTTAAAATACGCTATGGCGTTAAATGATAATCAGAGAAATCATATTGTCATAATCAAATTGTATTGCCGGATGACTGTCTTTACACAAAATTATTATTCCGTAAAGAACATATGGATTTGGTAGCCTCTATTAGACATCACTACTGGCCTTTAAAAGCGCAAAGTTTGGCTCGTGCCATAGTACACAATTGATTTAATTATTTTAAACTGAAACCTCAAATAGTACAACCGATCATGGGAAGTCTTCCCAGTCCACGGGTCCAGAGTGGAAGAGCATTTGCCATATGTGGTGTAGATTTTGCTGGTCCAGTCATGATAAGGATGAGGTTTCATCATAACGTACCATGTAACAAGGGATATATTAGCATATTTGTATATTTCGCGACAAAGGCGATACATATCGAACTCTTGAGCGATCAGTCAACGAAGACGTTTTTACAAGAATTGGGCAGATTTTTTGATTGACGTGGCAAAAGTTCAATAATTTAGAGTGATAATGCCAGAAACTTCATGGGCATGGATCGGCATTTAAAGGTGGTGTACGCATTTTTCCAATCCCCAAAACATCAGCGATCCGTTTTTTCTCATCTAGCGAATAAAGGAATCTAATGGCGATTTATACCACCCCGTGCACCGCATTTCGATGGGCTTTGGGAAGCTGTGGTCAAAAGCATGAAAAGTTTGTTATATCGCGTTTTGGAAGAGGCTCGGCTCACGTACGAAGAATTATTAATTGTAATAACTCGAGTGGAAGCTGTATTTAACTCGCGACCACTAATTACAGTATCTTCTGATTCTGCTGATCTATCTTACCTCACGCCAGGCCATTTTTTAACTAGCGATATAATGACCGCCATACCGGAAAAGAACGAGATAGTTACGCCTATTAATGATTTAAATAGGTAGAGAATAGTCTCACACTACACTCAAATATTTTTGAAACGGTGGCACCAAGAGTACTTATCTTAACTATAGGAGAGAACCAAATGGTCCAGCACGAAAGGTCCAAAGTTACAAATTGGAACTATTGTTTTGGTAAAAAAGACAAATTTATCACCACTCAAATGGAAAGTTGGGCATGTGATGGAATTATACTGTGACGATGACAATGTGGCAAGGTCAGCAAAGATCCGAATTAACGGCGGCGAGTTTTCACGAGCGATAAGGTTATTATGTCCGTTACCTTTTGAAGGCAACAGTTTGTAGCCAGTTTATTTAGAATTCGCAGTTAATGTATTATATTTATATATATGTGTGTGTCATAACTCATCTTGGATTAATTATTAATTTTTCCATACTGAATTTTGTTTTATAATGATTATTTATATATTAATTTTTATGTATTTATTTATTGATCTTTACGTATTTATTTGTTACTAAATTTGTTCTTAGTTTATAGTTGTTTTTTGTTATCACTTTACGTTGAAACTAATATTTCATGGCGGACGGTGTGTTTAAGCCTATACAATAAGTGTTGTTATTATTGTGTATATCTTATCGTAGTTCGGTGGCAGTACAGTCGTCAGGTTTTATAATAGAGTAGTCTACCTTTGTAAAGCACACCATGGTTCGTGTACACATAATATACGCATATTCATTTCTTTGTACTTAATGTCTGATTTAAATTTTATTTAAGATCTTTTAGTAATAACAGATTACGCCCGAACAATTATTTTAGTTTTAGTTGTTAAATAGATGGGCAAGAACTGTCCATTCATTTACACCTGTAGGTTCATTGTGCGTAACTCCTACCAAATTATAATAAATTGGTTTTCTTATCTAAGTCTTCCATATTTCTTTTTCGGGAAAATAGTTTCCCAAGTGTAGAAATAGAGTTAGTCCCTTGTCCAGTTATTATAAATACCAAAAATAAGTCGATGTAAAATAAAACCATATCTAATGAATATTATATATGTTAGGTTGATTAATGGCTACTATCCAATTATTTCGATATGAATAAAAAACTAAACATTGCTAACCTGGAAAATAAAATAATTGTGACATAATGTTCCTTACTTCTAATATACAACTTATTAACAGATATTTTTAAAAAAAGCTAAATATATTTATTTTATAATAAGTTAATTTTAAGGGAAAATTAATGTAACACTATCAAGTTAATGCAATGCTGTTTTTTTAACAGAATTGAATAACAAAATAGACGTACCCAGTGAGTAAATTTTTAACTTATAATTACAAACTTTCAATTTTATACTACTAGCAATAATTTTATTTAGGATGTTTGAAATGCATGGCACAAGAAGCAAATACAACGTTAGACTTCTGTAGCCATAAATATTGTAAAAATTGTGTCGAAGAAGCATTTAACCATCATATGAGATTTCAATGTCTTACATGTAGAAACAATGTTGATGCAGCTAGCACCATTGAGAGTACTAAATACATTATATAATTACCCTAATTAAAAATAAATTTTATCAATACTTTAAAAGACTACACCAAAAGAGCTTATCATTCTAAAAAATTTCAACTTGAAATAACTACAATTCAATATAACTACTAGTTATATATCAATTAAAACGAAAATTTTGTAGGGTGATTGTGGTAATTGTTAATTTAATATTTTTTCTTTAAATATTTAATTTTAGATTGAAAAGTTCTGATCTTTAAATGTTTTGCTATCATATTGAATGTAAGGTCAAAATGAAAACACATGAATTTATTTAGAAAAATTAATTTACAAAAGCTCCGATTGTTTATAAGTGTCCTCATTTCTCCATAATGGCAATAGCTATAATTATATAGGTGGAAGTGTAAATGAATACAATTTATAAAACATATCGAGTGTGTATCTTAAAGAGATTTAAAACAAATTTAATTAATGTTTAATAAAAACAAGTTATAACAATAGTTATTACTATCTCATTAAAATGTATGAAAAATTAAAAAAAAAACAATTTTTTTAATAATTGATCTACACAATTCAAGTTTAGTAAATACAATTTCTTAGATATTTCTTAAAGATATGTGAACATATTTTATATCACGTATTTATTTCTATAAACGTGATATAGTAAAATATATTTAGAAACAATACTATTTTTAAACTTTAATTTGAAGCTGAGAAGGTATTGATTTAAAAAAACCCAGCACAGGAGGTCGCGGCACAGTGGTGACGTGGTATAGATGGATCAAGTATAATGATATCTGACAGTGATTAAAATCACTATCAAAAAAAAAACGCTTCGATGCAAATCTTTAGTGTTTAATTTTAAAAAATTGGTGTATTATTCCAAAAGCTACATGATCTGCTAGTAAAAAAATTGTATTGATTCATACATTTTTTAAAAAGTTATAGCCTTTTAAAGTAAAAAATGTAAAATATAAAATCGAGAAATTTCACACAAAAATAGCTTTTGGTAGCCGTTTTCACCATGAAGACAAGTCCTGAGGTCAAATTTTTTTTTTTCATAATAAAGTACATTACATTAGCTTTAATTTAAAATATATATAAAAGTGTCAGACCTTCCGGAACATTTTCAAAAGTTAAGTTGAAAAAGTTAATTTTTTGTAAAAAAGTTGTCATTTTAAATCCCCCCCTGTGGGCAGGTTAAGTGTCAGATTTACAAAAAAAATATACCAAATTATAAGTAAAGACATCAAGCATCTATAAAAAAAACAATTATATTGTTATATACATTTTTGAAAAAGTTACGGCAGTTTTTAGTAAAAAAAATTGAAAAATTTTCGAAAATTAACGATTTTTAAATTTGTAATTTTTTTGAAGGTTTCCCTCATTTACGGGGAACGAGGGAATTTTTTTTAATTTTTAAGGGTAATGTCTTCAACTAGATACGATTTGTGATCTTTTGACGTATTGTTGAAAGAAATCGGTCCAGTGAGAGCTGAGAAAAAGTAGTAACAGACACAAAAAAAAAAAGATAAACACATCATGGTAAAATTAATACCTTCTCAGCTTCGCATCGAAGCTAAAATTATCTAATTAAGAAAAGGACTGGTCAATACCACTTTTGAACCAGTATTTCTTGAACTATTAAATATTTCTTAGCCTCACGCTTCCTCCCGCCTAGGTTTGAAAGTACAATAAATTCTGAAAAACTTGTTATCGATCAGACATTTTCTTAATTACATAATTTTTTGTTTTATAAGCTAGTTAAATATGTAGGTTGCCATTAAAAAAATAAGTTAATACATATAACATTAGGAATGAACATAAAAATATTTTATAACATATATATGAATATGCAAATGTAACTCACAAAAGTAAAAAAAAAAAAAAATTATATTAAGAAAAATTGAATAATTAACGTTAAAAGTATAACCCTATATATAATAATAATATAAATCAATAAATAAACATAAATTTTAACAGATTTCCATCAAAACGTTTTATTATGATAGTTCAAGAAGCTCATCATATTGGATTTTCATTATAAACATAAATTACTTGAATTATTTTAAATATAATTCTATTAAATACTACGTATGATAATATAATTTATCATAATAATGTAAACAATGAATTTATAAAGCATATAAAAATAGTTTTTTACATAAAGGGATATCTAAAAGAATATGTATTATTTCAGAATATTTTTTTATTATCTATTATTTAATACTAGGTTCTGTCCACTACAGAACCTACGGGACTCACTTGTCTTCTTTTTATTAATCAAATTTTTTAATATACGAGGTGTGTTCAAAAAATAACGGGAATTTTTAAATTCATGATTAAATATATCCACTGACGTTTTATATTCATATTCATGATTATGAAACGCGAAGCAACAAAATTTGTTCCAAAATTGTTGAATTTTGAACCAAAACAGCGGCGAATGGAAGTTCCTCAGGAGTTACTTAATGAAGTCAATGACGATGTAGAATTACGGAAACGTGTTACAACAACGGCTAATAAGGAGTACTACCTACAAGTTCAATGTCGTTTACGTTAAGCAAAAAAAAAAAACACCCGGATTTGTGGCAAAACAATTCATGGGCTTTTTCCCATGATAATACACCTGCTCACACTTTATTGCTTATTCGTGAATTTTTGGCTAAAAATAATCCTGTTATGATGTCTCAGCCTCCATATTCGCCCGACATGGTTCCATGTGACTTTTTTAAATTTTCAAAAATAAATACAACCTTAAAGGACCGTTGTTTTACATGCATAGATGACATTAAAAACGCATAAAATTTCAAAATTGTTATTATTTTAAGAGAAATTTTGTTATGGTTAAACGATAAATTAATCACTGTAAATGTTTAATTAATATCTAATATTTAAAAATATTTGCATGTTATATTGAATATTTTTGAACAAATCACACTATTTTAAGTTTAAAAGATTTATAGTTACCCAACCCAACCTTAATAATTCTCTTATTAAGTCATAATTTAATTCAAAATTTTATTTTTACTCTTTTTTGAGAACATTTTCTTAGGTAATAATTTATAGATAAATATCCTCAATAATATTGAAGATACCAAAACAATTCTCTTAAAAATAAAAATAAAATTAAAATTTTTCATTTATTAAAAAATGATGACTAATATGTTTTATATTCTAGATGTAAGAATATATAAAAAATGCGATAATCAAAATGAACATCAGATAACAAAACTTATACCCTGCAATCATATATTTTGTTCTGAATGTGCATTTGAAATGGTTGTAAAGAATATGTGTCGAGATTGTAAAAAAAATGTTACAAGTTTTGACACAGTGTAGTAAAATTTAATGAAACACAATTTTATACATTTATCTAATCTGTGATTATATTATAATATAAGAAATTAAAGAATTTGGTGTAAAAATTTAAACAAATTGTATTTTTATACTATAACATACATTTTTTATTATTTGATCATTAATGAATGAAAAAATCTCCAATGAATCAAAGTTATTAATACAAAAAACTTAAACATTTCACTAAAATATAAAATGTTATCCACATTTTTTTTTCATCATTATTAGCACTAATTGTTTTCAAAATTTTTTTTATTAACATACAAAAACTAAATAGCAACAAAAACGAAGTTTCAATAATGTTAATGTTTTCAAAAAATGCCTTTATACATAATTACACACCGCACATCTGAGGTTAGGTTTTTTGTATCACATTTTTTTTTAATTGATAGCCAGTTGTTTGTAGTAGAACAATTGTTCTATAATTTTTTTTTTTAAGATCAATGTTTTTTTGAAAGTTATAGTAAAATGAAAAAGAAAAAAATTTTAGAGAAATTTTGTTATTTTAGTTTTTAAATTCAAATAAGTCATAAAAACAATATTGTTGGGATGGTTTTTTTTTTATCATAAAATAATTCAAAAAAGATTTAATTTGATACAAGTATCGGTGTAAGTATGGTACTTTGTATTTTTCATTTATGAATTATACGTCACATTTTATTACAGCAGAATATATTTGAATAATAAAATTATCTCTTTTGTTGAATGATGTGTTAGGGTATTTAATAAAATTATTTGTGTTACTTTATCAATGTGTTTCGACATCATCGTGTGAAAGCGAGACAAGCATAAAAAAGATTGTCGATCGTTGATAGCTGTTCGAAAAACATATCTGTCCGTTGCTATTGCTATTACTACTATTGCTGTTGGAGCCAGGGGCACTAAATATTATAGTACGTACCCGAACCGGTTAATTGCACCAATACCGATCAGGCTGCGTAGTGTGGTGTATGTAAATAGAATCACTGGTGGTGGGAGGGGTCGCCTGCGCAGCAACCAGTGATCTATGTAGTGCTCAAGTGAGTACTGTGTGTATATATGTTTTGTGTGTGCTCTTAAACTAAGTAAATAAATAATTCAAACCTTTTTACAACAATTAATAATAATAATTTAATGAATAACTTGATTAGATAATTTTAGCCCTTTTGGCTCAACAAATAATGTAAATATGTACTCT